ATGTTGAACCTTCCTTGCATCCCTGGCGTGAAGCTCATTTGGTTGTGATGGATTACTTTCTTGATAACCAACTGGATTCGATTACCTAGAATTTTATTGAGAATTTTGGAATCCGTATTCATAAGAGATATTGGTCTGTAGTTTTGTTGTTGTTGTTGCATCCTTTCTTTGTTTTCGTATCAGAATTATGTTCACTTGATAAAATGTGTTGGGGAGGATTCCATCCTTCCTGATGTTGTGGAATAACTTCTGCAGGATAGGCACCAGTTCTTCTTTGTAGGTGTGGTAAAATTCAGGTGTGAAACCATTTGTTCCTGACTTTTCTTTTCAGGAAGGATTTTTATTGCTGTTTCAACTTCAGTAGTTGGTATTGGTCTGTTCAGGAATTCTATTTCTTCCTGGTTTAGCCTAGGGAGGCTGTGTGTTTCTAAGAAATTGTCCATTTCCTCCACATTTTCCAGTTTGTGTGCATAAAGTTTTTTGTAGTATTCATAAATTATATTTTGTATCTCTGTGGCATCAGTTGTACTTTCTCCTTTATTATTCCTGATGGAGCTTATTGGAGATTTTTCTTTTCTGCTTTTCATTAGTCTAACCAAAGGTGCATCAATTTTGTTTATTTTTTCAAAGAACCAACTTTTTGTTTTATTAATCTTCCGTGTGGTTTCCCTGTTGTCAATTTCATTTAGTTCTGATTCTATCTTAATGATTTGACTTCTTCTGCTGGGTTTGGGGTTGGTCTGTTCTTCTTTTTCCAGCTCTTTGAGACAATTCATTAGGTTGTCTATTTGTGATCTTTTCAACTTTTGAATATAGGCATTTATGGAAATAAACTTTCCACCCAGGACTCCTTTAGCTGTGTCCCACAGGTTTTGATAACTTGTGTCAGCTTTGTCATTTAGTTCAAAGAATCTTTTGATTTCCATCTTGATTTCCTCATTTATGATGTGATCATTCAGCAAAAGGTTGTTTAGTTTCCATGACTTTGTATATAAATGAGAGTTCCTGGTAGGGTTGATTTCTACTTTTATTCCACTGTGATCTGAAAAGACACATGGTATAATTTCTATTTTTTTAAATTGTTTGAGACATGCGTTGTGTCCTAGGAGATGGTCAATCTTAGAGAATGACCCATGAGCTGATGAGAAGAATGTATATTCAGTGGTCTTGGAGAAGAAAGTCCTGTCAACATCAGTTGGGCCCAATTATTCTAGAATTTTGTTTAAGTCCTTTATTTGTTGATTTTCTGTTTGGAGGATCTGTCCTATGCTGTTAGTGGGGTATTAAAGTCTCCAACCATTTTGGTGGTATTGTTGTGCCAAATGGCAAAGCTGTAACAATTTGAACATAAATATACATATTATCATAGTTTCTATTACAATACACAATACAAAATCAACATACATGATTTTATATGGACATGATAAATCATTGAGTAAATACATGAGAAGAGACAAATCTTTCAGATAGAAGAATGTCACATAGAACATGAATATACTTCCCTTTCCAGTAGGCAGAGATTAATTTAGCTACCCTGTATCCTTTGTGTGTGGGCTGGACTTCGTGATTCCCATCCAAACAAGGGAGGATGAAAATGGACACATCGTAACTTTATAATGGAGACCTGAAAAACATCTCAACAAATGATCAAGTATAACATCACCGGTGATGTTAATTGCATATGATCTGTGATGTGACAGAAGATGATGAGATGAGATATTCTAAAGACCCATAAACCCAGGCTAATCATGAGAAAAACATCAGACAACCCTAACTGCAGAGATAGTATAAAAACTATGGACCACTTCTCTTCAAATCTTCCAAAGTCATAAAAAACTAGAAAAGACTGATAAATTTTAACAGAGAGGAGAAGAGGGAGATATGATGACTAAGTATAATGTGGTATTCTGGATTGGATCATGGAATAGAAAAAAGACATTTGTGTTAAAACTGGCAAAATGCAAATAGTCTCAAGTTTAGCTCATAGTAACATATGCCAATGTTGGTTTCCCAGTTTTCTAAAACATACCATAGTAATGTAAGATGTTAACATCAAGAGAAACAATAATAGATATTAGATGTATGAGGACTCTTTGTTCTATCTTTGCCACATTTCTGCAGGCATAAATTTATTCCAAAATAAAAAATTGACCTTAAGAATTGCCACTATTGATAACTTAATTACATAGCGGTACCTGACATTATTCACTATGTTTGAGTTAATATGAACATTTTTCTTTACAATGTGTCCATCTGGCTCCTTTTGTGATTCTAAAAGCAATACAACTCCTCAATAAACAACAAATTCATGTCTCTGGCCTGCAAATTACTACTACTATATAGATCTAAGATTGACAAAAGATTCTCCCATAAAAATTGCTTCTTATAATTGGAAATGCAAGATAATATTCTAAAACCTATGTTTTCTGTTTTGTTTTATCAACAGAGCCAATTGGCATCAAGGTTTAATGAGAACAACCTACTTTTAAACATCACCAAAATCCATTCAATTTGATTTCAGAAAGGAAATGTCTATTTAACGCTGGATCCATACCTACCCTCTTTCTAAATATCAACTGACACATTTTTTGTTTTCCTTTGTCTCTTGCAGTTCATTATTTCAGTGTTTAATGGAAAATATTGTAATATGCTAATTCTTTCTCCATAAGCATTATTACATCTCAAATTATCATATTAGTCCTAGGATGCAAGGTATATTCCATGTTAACAACATGGCCTCAAATGTTTGTAATAAATAAAACCGTTTTCCTTCTAGCTTCACCTCCAGGTGACTCTACATTCCACCTCAGTTTTTTGAAGGGCCATATGAAATGCTATGCCATTTTTATTGAACTGTCCTTAAGACCCTGGGTATAGTTAAATCCTAGGAAACTTTAATGTTTTATATTAAATGATACAAACTAAAAGCCATTTTCAGTATTTCTACACTCCTTCAGGAATTACTTAGTGGACTCTGATTTTCTCCACAATGACTCTTATTAAGTACTATTATAAGAGTACTTATGAAAATTACATAAGATTTCCTTACTGTGGCTTTTGTTTTAATATTAGAGCAAAGTCTCTGTGTAACTCAGAACTTTATGTGCAGTGAGACTGGCTTACAAATGTGTTTAAGAATCTGAGAAGCATCAGTACATCAATCTGTGAACACAGTGAAAAATACACAATTTATATTTTTCTAATGGGATGAGGAAATTGTACATTTCTTCGAGTGCACACAAACAAGACCTTGCATACACAGGGGTCACTTCTAGAGAGAATAAAGGGACGGACAGTTGGGAAACACGCACTGATGAAGGCAGATGTCTTCACCAGCAACTTAGTAGTCTTATCAAAAAAATAAAATTAAAAGTAAATTATGGCACAGATGGTATAAAAAGAAACAAAAGTGCTACCAGGATGAGGACGCTGTCAGTGGCTCTAATCTCAGGAGAGGTGCTGGGAGTTCGTGACTCTCCCAACAAAATAGGTCTCCGACAGGAACATTGTAAGAGATTTGGAAATAATAGAGACAGACACAAAGTATAGTTTAAAGTGATGGGGAAGTCAGGGGTCCTCCAGCATTCCCATGAGCCAGGGGACACTGAGTGAAGTCCAGCATCAGTATTTATTGGTATAGCAATTAGTTGTCAGTGATTATAGATTTATGTGTACAGATCATTCATTTAGGTTTCAAGGTTTCCCAAAGGCTTCAAGAGATCCATTACCTAATTCTATTTACAAGAGGAAACGGTTACAAAACTTTTTCAAGATAAGCATTTTAAGCCCCAAATAATATACATAGCTGTGCATACAAGTCATTAATTAAACAGTAGTATAAAACAGGAGTACCGAGCCTGCATACATCTCTAATCTATTTCTCTATATAATGAGACATGTAGTCAGGTGTTAAACAGGAACTGTCCTTGAGGCTAATTGGTTTTTGCTGCAGGTGTCTCCTGGGTGGACATCCTTTGATTAGTCTCTTAGCCTTTCGCCCCATGCCAAGCTCTGCCTTGCTTAAGCTCCAGGCGCTGGCTGACAGGCCTTGAGACTGGCAACACCTTGCAGTCATCCCTAATTGGTGGAATATCTCCCTTGTTGCTAAGCAGCTTCTGGTCTGTGAACTAACATGCCCACAGATTCTTTCAAGACAGAATTCCAGCAAAACTCCAGAAAGTTTCCACGTCTCTTAACCCAATTTCCCAGCATCTACCCCTTTCTTAATAAAAGTTGATGAAGCTGGATAGGCATCACTGCAAGGCAATGGACTCCGGACTCTTGTCTTCTTTGGAGTTTTTTCCAGACTATAAGTACAAGCAAATGATTAAAATAATTCCAAAATTTATTATATCAGAACTCTCATAGATCTTAAGAGAAAGTGGGTTACCTGACTCCATTCCAGATGAAATACTATTAACAATGTGAGCCTCAGAGATTAGATCAAGTTTGTGACTAAAGATACTTAGTATTTCTTGATATAAATTTCCAATCTCTTCAGTCAGATTTCCTTGATTAAGAAGATGTTTCTTAATGTTTTCCCAAGGAAACTGAATCTCATTACATATGTGAGGTGTAACACAAAATTGATATTCGATTTGCGAGAGTCTAATTTACTTTTACAGCTTCCAACCACTTGTTGGAAGTCAACCACTTGAGTAGCCAATTTATTGATCTGCTCTAAATTATGGTCACTTGATTAATCTCTGTCTCCCTTAACCTACACTGCCCTCCTGTCAGAAGAGAACCTTGAACACAATGAGCAATATAAGTGACATCATACTTTTACATTATTCTCTGCCCCTCCCCAATACTAATTCAGATAGTATTTAATATTCAATGGCAGCATCCTTCTTCTTACAGGAACATAGATACAAGTGATCCTCACCCCTAAAGCAGGCCCTGCCATGCAATGGATTCTTTCCCACGGGTCACAATTAAAGGCTTTTGAAAAAGGCGTAATAGCAAAATTTCAAAGTTCAAGTTGAAAGTTATGAGTAGTTAAGTAGCCTTTTCAAGAATCCTCAAATAAATGACTACAATATTTTGTAACTTTGAGGTAATTGGCCATCTCTAAATGTCCTGACACTGTGATATATATCATGCCATAAGTTTTAACACATTTGGACTTAGAATTATTTTACAGTATGTAATATCAAAGGTTAACCATGGAGAATTAGAGATTGAATCATTCCTCATACAAATCCTCATTACATTTATGGCCACTGGGTAATAGCCACAACATGCATGTTACATTTGTGTGGCTTCATCAAAGATGTGTATTTTGATGCCCAGTGGGTTATGAGGAATGAAAAAAGCCTCTTCCATGTACGATTAAATGATTATACTTTAGCATAAGTTCTCCAATGTTAATACTTGAATTCATGAGGTGTCTGCCATCGTCTGCATTTGTAAGGATTCTCTTGAGAATGAATTATCCAATGTCATGCAAGGAGTGAATTGTGACTGAAGACCTAGCCACACTCATTTGTATGGTTTCTTTGAAGTATGAATTCTGTGATGCCTTGCCAGCTTTGATTATTCACTGAGGAGCCCGCCAGTCATTGCATCTATAAGGTTTCTCACCAGTACGAATTCTTTGATGATTTGCAAGTTGTGAACGTTGAGTCAAAACCTTACCATGTTCATTACATTTTTAAGGTTTCACTCCAGTATGGATTGCCCTGATTGGTAGTTAGGCCTGAAAACAATCTAAAGGCTTTTCTACATTCATTACACTTATAAGTTTTCTCTCCATAATGAACTCCTTGATGACTTGAAAGGCGTCTATTTTAAGTGAAGACCTTGCCACACTCATTACATAAGGTATTTCTCTAGTATGGTGCCGGGAGTTAGCTACTCTCCCAACAAATGGGTCCCAGGCAGGATTGTCAGAAGAGATTTTGAAATAATAGAGACAGAGACAAAGTATAGTTTAAAGTCATGGGGAACTCAGGGGCCCTCCAGCATCTCCGGTAGCCAGGAGACACTGGTTGAAGTCTCACATTAGTATCAATTGGTAGGGCAAGCAGTTGTCCTTGGTCATAGAATTATGTGTACAGATTATTCGTTTAGGTTTCAAGGCCCCCCAAAGGTATCAAGAGATAAAAGAGTAATTGGTTACAACATTTTCCCGAGATAAACATTTTAAGCCCTAAGTTTAGAATAGACATGGTTCTGTATACAAGTTAAAGTTAAATTGTTAATTAAGCAGTAACACATAAAACAGTAACACTGAGCCTGCATAGTTATCTAATCCATTTCTCTAAATAACGAGTCAGGAGTCAAGCAGCAACAGCCTTCAAGTTTATGATAGTTCCAGTGGCAGGTTGTTTGTTTTGTTGACATCCCTTGATCACATTTCTTAACTTTTAGCTCCACGCCAAGCTCTGCCTTGCACAAGCTGCAAGCACCACCTTGCAGTTTCCCCTGATCAGTGAAATTACCCCTTAATGCTAAGCAGCTTCTGTTTGTGAACTAATTCACCAACAGATTTCAAGTCAAAGCGTTGCTCAACTCCTGAAACTTTCCATGTCTCTCAACTCTACTTCCCAACAGTATCGACTGTCTGATGCACAGTGAGCAATGAATGCAGTCTAAAGGCTTTCCCACCCTCATTACGTTTGTAAGGTGTCTCTCCACTGTGAATACTTTGATTTACAAGCTGTGAATTTTGAATGAAGGCCTTGTTTCATTTATTACATTTGTAAGGTTTATCTCAAATATCCATTATCTGATGGATTTTAAGGGCTGATTTCCATCTGAAAGCCTTGCTACACTCATCACATTTGTAAGGTTTCTCTCCAGTATGGATTACCTGATGGATTTTAAGGGCTGATTTCTGACTAAAGGCCTTGCCACACTCATTACATTTGTAAGGTTTCTCTCCAGTATGGATTGCCTGATGGATAGTCTTGAATGTACACTAAAGGCTTTGCCACACTCTTAACACTTGTAAGGTTTTTCTCTATTGTGAATACTTTGATGCCTAACAAGGTGCCCATTTTGAGTGAAGGCCTTGCCACACTCATTACATTTCAAAGGTTTTTCCCCAGTATGTGTTCTCTTGTGACATCTAAGGTGTCCACTTCGAATGAAGGCCTTGCCACACTCATGGCATCTGTAAGGTTTTTCTCCAGTGTGCCATCTCCTGTGACATGTAAGCTGTGAATTTTGAGTGAAGGCCTTGCCACACTCATTACATCTGTAAGGTTTCTCTCCAGTATGGATCATCTGATGGGTAGTTAGGCTTGAATGAAGACGAAAGGCTTTGCCACACTCATAACACTTGTACGGTTTCTCTCCATTGTGAATACTTTTATGCCTAACAAGGTGCCAACTTCCACTGAAGGTCCTGCCACACTCATTACATCTGTAAAGTGTTTCTCCAGTATGCCTTCTCCTGTGACGTGCAAGGTATTTATTTCGAGAGAAGACCTTGCCACACTCACTACATTTGTTAGGTTCTCCTCCAGTATGGATTACCTGATGGTTAGTTAGGATTGTACGAGCCCTAAAGGCTTTCCCACATTCATAACACTTGTAAGGTTTCTCACCAGTATGAATTCTTCTATGGATGACAAGGGAGCCATTACACGTGAAAGCCTTCCCACATTCGTAACATTTGTAAGGTCTTTCTCCAGTGTGCCCTCTCCTGTGACGTACAAGCTGTGAATTTGCAGCGAAGGCCTTGCCACATTCATTACATTTGTAAGGTTTTTCTCCAGTATGCCTTCTCCTGTGAAGTGTAAGGTCTACATTTCGAGTAAAGGCCTTGCCACACTCATTACATTTGTAAGGTTTTTCTCCAGTATGTGTTCTCCTGTGAACTACAAGGTCTGCATTTCGAGTAAAGGCCTTGCCACACTCATTACATTTGTAAGGTTTTTCTCCAGTATGTGTTCTCCTGTGAACTACAAGGTCTACATTTCGAGTAAAGGCCTTGCCACACTCATTACATTTGTTAGAGTTCTCTCCAGTATGGGTTGCCTGATGGACAGTTAGTCTTGAATGTACACTAAAGGTTTTGCCACACTCATAACACTTGTAAGGTATCTCTATACCGTGAATACTTTGATGGCTAACAAGTTTTGAATTTTGAGCAAAGGCCTTGCCACATTCATTACATTTGTGAGGTTTTTCTCCAGTATGTGTTCTCCTGTGACGTTCAAGGTCTACATTTCTACCAAAGGCCCTGCCACACTCATTACATTTGTAAGGTTTTTCTCCAGTATGTGTTCTCTTGTGACGTTCAAGGTCTACATTTCTACCAAAGGCCCTGCCACACTCATTACATTTGTAAGATTTTTCTCCAGTATGCATTCTCCTGTGAAGTGCAAGGACTTCTTCTCCTGCACTGGTCTTCCCTTTTGGTGGTACATTTTGTATTACAAATTCAGGAGAGAGATCTACAAGATATAAACAACCATAAGTTTCCAATTAATTACAGCATGTAAACAAACATTCCACATTAATAAACTTAATAATACACCAAAAGTAATACTGATATTAAACATATCTATGAAACTTCAGAAAGATAAAATTCAATTTTTAGGAACACACAAGGAATAGGATTGTTTCATAAGGAAAAGATGATTTCATGTGATCCAAATTAATATTGTGGAAGTCTAGTTTCAAACAATCTATAACTAAAACACAATGTGGAAACCAATGTTTCCCTTGAAAGATGTGACCCCAAGATATATTGCATAATGCATATAGTTATATAGCATATAGCATAGTCCAACAAGTCATATGGCATAATGCATACTTAAAAACTATAATCTAAACATAGTAAAAAAAAGTAATTAGTAAAACATCCTAATAATCCATTAAAAACAAGCAGACATGGAATCAGTAACTACAAGTATAAAAAGTTATAGTTTGTGGAAAAGGGAACAATTTTCTCCTCAGAAAAATACAGGGACATCCATTTTAAACCAGTAGAGTACAAGAAGTGGAATTTGAGTTTTTAAAATTTTTATTATATATAAACAAATTATAATTTTACATATTTGTAGGGAACAAAGTAATATCATGATATACCTATATAATGTGGAATGATTAAATGAAGCTTATAACTGTAGCCATCACCATCAAAACATTACTTACTCCTGCTGTTGAACTGAAACCTTGTAACCACTGACCAACTTATTCCTCATCCTCCAGCCTCTGATAACCAACACTCTACTCCAACTGCATTCCACATATAAATGAAAATATCCAACATTTGTATTTCTGTGACTGGTTCCTTCTGTTAGCAAAATGCTCTCCATGCTCATCTACATGCAGGAAACTGAACTTCCTTCTTTCAAAAGCTAAGTAGTATTCCACTCTGTATTATACACCACATTTTCTGTATCTATTCATCTGCTAATGGACACTTATGACTATATAACTTGGCTGTGTCAATAATGCCACAGTAAACATACAGATTCCATATCTTTAGATTTAAAACCAGCAATGAGACTGTTGGATCATATAATAATACTATTTTTAGTTTTTAGAGGAAACACCATACAGGTTTCCATAATGCCTATATTAATTTACATTCCCACCACCAGTATAGAAGAGTTTCCTTTTTTTCCTATCCTCATCAACAATTCTCAGCAGTAGCTATTATTGCAGGTGTACAGTGGCATCTCATTGTGGTTAAAAGCTGTATTTTCATAATAATTACTAATGTTGAGTCTTTTTAATATATTGATTGTTCATATGCATGTATTCTTTCAAGAAATATCTTTTGAGGTACTTTGACCATTTTTTAATTGGGTTATTTCTTTTCATGCCATTGAGTTCAGTTTCTTACACATTTTGGATACTAATTTCCTACCAGATGTACAGCTTGTAAATATTTTCTCACGATGCCAAGTTTCCCTTAATTGTTTCCTTTGTTGTGAAGAAACAGTTTTGTGTGGTGCAATCCCATTCATCTATATTTCCTTCTGTTTCCTGAGTTTTTGGGGTCAAAACTAAATAAATGATTATTGAAACCAATGTCAAGTATGTTTTTCTCTGCAATTTCTTCTAGTGGTTGATTTTTATACAAGGGCTATTGGAAACTATCCATAATACTATTTTTCAATATTACATGGCTGGATACATTATGGATCGCACTTGTACATGATCTGAGATAAGGATCCAGTTTCAATCTTCTGCATGTGGAATCATTTTTGCAGCACTATGTACTGAGCGACCGTCGTGTTTCACTTGGGTGTTCTTGGCACCTTTGTCAAAAATCCATTCACCATATGTGTATTGGTTCATTTCTCTTCTTTATTCTGCTTCACTAATTAATCTGTCTATTTTTAGGCTACTACAATCCTGTTATAAATACTACACTTTTGCAATATAGTTTGAAATCAGGTAGTATGGTACCTTTAATTTTGTTCTTTATAATAAAAATTGCCTTGAATATATGAACTGCTGATTAAATAAATTTTTTAAAAGTTCACATGTAATACATAAAAATATACAAGAGGAAAGCTGCACTGGCTTAAACAAATTATGTAGAATTAAAATATGGAGACATCATTTAACTTAATAAATTTCCTACAGAAGACGTTTCAAAACCATGCCTGTTAGAGCTGTGATTGAATGACAAAATGACAAAGTTTTTGTTGTTGAAAGAGAATAGTGACACATACAGGGGATGAAAAATGTCACATGAACAACAGATTACACATGAGGGAGTGGCCTTAAATAATATTTTCCCTAGAAGAAATTTCTACAACATTGACTGCTAGCTCAAGGGAGATGACCATTAGCATATGTGATCAGCATTGTCACAGTGACACTTTTGTGATGTTTCTCAAAAACTAGAAAAATAGGAAATACTTATCAGGCTGATTTGATACTTTTTATCTCAGGATCATGGCCCACCTATACTCAGTGGCTTCAAAGGGTATCTTCACATGTGGCAGGATGATATTCAATCACATTAGTTAGAGTGTTCTCATTCTCCTTCATCAATTTTATGTTATACACTAAACCCACTCCAAGGGATACCCCACAACAAGTTATGCATATACTAAAGGTGGATTATCCCAACAAGGCAGCCCTGAGGCTATCATCTCAGTGAAGCAATGCAGGGGTTAACTAGAGACTCAGAAGAGAAACTGCAAAGATACCTGAGCACAGATCCAGACTTCCACAGGAAATGGAAGTGTGTATGTTGTGTATGCGTATGTTGAAAGCCAGTTTCTGAAAGAAAATCATACAAATTAAGAAGAGTCAAAATCAGGCAGAGCCAAGGCTCCCTACATTCAGAGTAGTAACAGCAATGGAAAAGAGAAAAATACAATGCATGGGCATCAGATTTTGTGGTATCTTGAGAATGAATTCCATGTTCTGCCAACAGAACCCACACAAAGAGACTGAAAGAATAGGATCTGTACCCATGTAGGACAGGAGATCAAAGACAGGATGTTTCTATTGACTACATTTTCTGCTGAGTGACAATCTCAGAAGATCCAACTCACTTGCCTGTCATACACACCCATGAAGTGTGGCAAAAATGGCTTAGGGACCTGACCAGGCAGAAAGAGACTGAGAAAGCCCCAGGAAGTTTCTGGAGTCACCAATGCAAAGGAAGACCAGACAATGTTTTCCATCTCTGGACTGGGTCTTCCAAGCACATCAAATGGAATGAAACATGGAGAGGTCCAGTCATCAGGACTATGAAGACCACAGATCTGATCAATATATCTGCGAACTTAGCATGAGATGGACTCATCTACAGAAATAAAGGGCAAGGGAGAAAGCAACCCTTCTGAAACAGCCTTTCCTGTGCTACTCAGTGTCAACAACAAAAGGGTCCATGAGGTCAGATAACACAGTGTTGTCCACCATGACAGGGACTTTCCATTTGTTTTTGTTTGAGCACCACTGAAGGGTACAAGGATAAAGTGTTACATATCTGAGGAACAGAGTGAGAAGTGGAGGAAAAGAAAAATTTCCTTTCAGAGCTCACAGGACATAAACTTTTGTTTTCCCATAGAACTGTCAGATTTGCATAGAGTTTCCCAAGCACTATTTAAAGAGCAGCTTTCTCTCTATCCATCTGAGCACTTACCTGCCATCACACCTTTGATCAGTTTCCATTCATCTGATTTTCTTGCTATTTGCACTTGGCTCTCTACAGTCCAGGGCTCTTTCCCTTGCTCCAACATGGAGAAGATACTCAGGTCAAAATGAGAAATCCCTGCTTATAGAAACAAAGGAATATAAGGTACCATGGCTTTTCCAGAATCCCAGCCCTATGTTTAAGTAAGGAGAAAGGATATTGCAGATGGATATATCAGAATCACCATTGAATGCCTTTCTGAAATGCTATGGGAGAATATTTAACATGAGACTTTAGTCGTCTTTGAAGAACCAAAGAATCAAGCCCAGGGGTAAACAGGAATATGATTTTTAAACATCTGCCCAAGGTACATAATAAGCTCTGGAACCATCCAATAGAATATATCATAAATGGGGAACTCTGAAGAAAGGGAAGTTACAGTCAGATACTCCCATCTATAACGGTTTTCTTTCATGAGTCAGAGGGCTTAATCTCAGTCAAAGCAATGCAGGGCTCATAGGAGACCACAAAAGAAAATGCAAAGATAAAGGAGGACATTCTGGACTTCTAAGAACAGTTATTCTCACCAGAAAACCAGGTTCTAGTTCTCCAACATCACATCCCTGTATAAGCCCTGTTGACTTGGATTAAGCATTTCACTCTTCCGGAGAGAATTCTTATGGCAATCCCTGAATGTCAACCGTCCCTAAAATGAAAAACACATTTCACCAAGGGCTATTAGGAGAGATCTTAATGTTCAGAAATATGAGGAGAGAACTCTAAATAGATTGATTTAAGTGAATGGGCTCACAGATCCACGCTGTGATACTATGAAATATTGATATATTGATCATCTTTATCCTCTGACATACAACTCACCTGAAATCTCTGGAGGACAGATTACGCGTCAGTAGTAATAGAGGTAAGTGGTAGCCTAAGGCCCCTACATACCTTCAGACTGGGGACTGGTTACTGGAAATACCCAGGCTGGATTACAGGGTCAGAACTCTTAGCTCCCACCCCCAACGTCCAATGGGAGGACACGGGCTGAAAACTCACTTGATCACCAATATCTAGTGATATATACAATCATGCTTATACAGTGATGTCTCCACAAAATCCAAAAGGATAGGGTTCAAAGGACCTTGCAGACAAGTGAAAAGGGAAAGGTTCCCAGAGGGTGATGCTTGCAAAGATGGCATGAAAGCTCTGAGCCACTTCCTTCCACACTTTGCGCAATACATCCCTTCCATCTGGCTGTTCTTCTGTGTAGTTTGGAATATCTTTTATAATTTTTTTTCAGACTCCAGTGAAACCTCTTATATTAATATAAGGATATGGAGTTCTGCTTCTTAAACTCATAAATTGTGATAACAACTAGATAAGGATGTTGACTGCAAAAAGAATATTATTTGTAAAGAGAAATAAATAAAACACTCTTTTGTGATATCATTTTCCCTGCATCCTACTATCTCTACTAGGTTGAAAACCTTTGTTCTAAAAGCAGTATGTTGATCACATTAGAGTAGTTCCCTGTTTTAACAGGGAACCTTCAATGTAATCTCTTAACTCTTTCAAAATGGATGCACGCAGTGGCATTTTCTACTAGACCCAAAGCTGAGTACTTTTACATAATTTTAATACTATTTTAGGCAACTCTTATGACAATTATACTAGCAAGTTTCCTCAAACAACCCAAGCTCATCAACTGCTGCTTCTCTAAGGTGGTGTGCACTTCACGCTAAGGTCATCACAGAGAGCGAGGCCCACACTTCTTCCCTTAGGGACTTGTGAGGGAACAGAGGAGCACAATTTGGGAGCTACCTGTGAGCTGGTGTCTCAAAACTAGAACAAGACAAGGATGCCCACTGTAACCACTTTTATTCCACATAGTGCTGCAAGTCCTACCCAGGCAAGTGAAGGAGAAGAATGGTGACCAAATGGGGAAAAAAGAGGTCAAACTATCACTCCTACTCATGATATGATCTTATATCTAGAAAACCCCAAAGATTCTGCCAAGAGACTCCAGGAATTGATAAATAAATTCATCAAAGTCTCAGGTTACAAAATAAATGTACACATATCAGTAGTATCTCTATATAGTAACATCAAGCTGAGAATCAAATAAAAAACTCAATAACTTTCACAATAAAAACAGAGAAAATGACATACCCAGGAAAATATCCAACCAAGAAGGTGAAAGATCTGTATAAGGTGAACTATGAAGGAAGGAAACTGCAGAGGATGAAAGGAAGGAAAGGAAGTTTCCTTCACTTTCCTTCACTTCCTTCACTAAGGAAAGAAACTGCAGAGGATGAAAACAACTGGAAAAACAAATCATGGTCATGGATTGGCAAAATCAACATTGTTAAAATGCCCATACTACCCAAAGTGATGTACAGATTCAATGCAACCTCCACCAATATACAAAGGTCATTTTTTTGAAGATCTAGAAAAAAATACTTCTACACTTTGTATGGAACTAGAAAAGAGCTTCAATAGCCAAATCAACCTTAAGCAAAAGGAACAAATCAGGAGGAATCACTTCACCAGACTTCAAGCTATACTACAAGGCTATAGTAAATAAAACAGCATACGACTGGCACAAAATCTGGACATAAACCAATGTAACAGAACAGAGAACGCAGATATAAAACCCTCCACACAGCCCAATGTAACAGAACAGAAGACCCAAATATAAAACCCCCCACATATAGCCATCTGATCTT